GACGTGAACAAAACACATCGCTCATAATCTCTAAACACAGAGGAGGAGGTGAAGGCGCAGTACAAAGCCATTTCCCCCCAAGAACACGGATGACCCCAGCGAGCCTCTCATCACTCGGTCTCCGTACCAGTCGGTGTTCCACGGGCCACCGCGGCGGAGCCGGCACCACGACGCATTTCCCACAAAGTCCTTTCCCGGAGAAAAACACGCTCTCTGTCCGTTTTTAATATGACTGCAACTTTCCTTCAGCCAATTCACGTCACGTGCTTGACGCCTCCTGAAGCATTTTCAACCGTATGAAATAGAGTTAATTTTGGGAAAGAGGAATATTGTCGAGATCTTTTAAATGGCTTTCATTTCTGTGAGAACCCAATGTTCCTTGGTTATTAATACTCGTTTTCCAGATGGAAATCTTTTTCCCCCACATTTCTTGCACTGCCAACTTCAACGCGGTTCTGTTTTGTTCAGGAAGTGATTTTTGCTGCCGGGGGGCGACGGGTGTTGTGGAGGAGAAGGACGGACCGCGGTGACAAGTGGGTACTTCCTCTGGTGATACTGCCACACTCTGCAGAGTGTGCGTCTGCACATGCTCAGTTCGCTGTGTGTACGGAGTGGCCCGTGATTCTGAACATGAACTGCTCCGTCCGCCGTCTGTTAACGGTGGGTCATTCAGTAACGGCTAGTTCCTTGGTGGAAAACGATGGCAAAACAACTGTAGCCACGATGAATTTTGAAAAACATCAGAACAGGAAAAGTAGGCCTTGGGGTAAGATTTGGTCGCAGGCCCATTGTGGACACGCCCGATTGACAGCTGCAGCCGGACGGTCCCCACCACCCGCTGGCTTTGCACGGTCGCCCTGACCGTTTGAGGGCAGTGTGACGGACAGGTGTCCACTCATTTATCGGGGCATCTTCCCTCATTTAACAGGGTAGGTGCCCCTCGTCCCAGCACTGTTGACACCGAGACCATAGGCGTGAGCAAGTCAGCCCCCCCCCCATGCTTCTGGTCTGAGGAAAAATACCGAATAACTGCCACAACTGCAAAGCAGGCCACAGAGGTGAGGCAGGTGGCGACGTAGGTGACAGGTAGACCTGACGGGGGGGGGTGGCCCTAAGGGGCTTGGTTGAGGCAGAGACACTAATGCTCAGGACACAGGACTCGGAGGATGAGGCCAGAGGAAGCGGAGAGACTGGCAGACGAGGGGAGCAGCGTGTGCGGGGACCCTGCGTCAGGGGAGAGGCGGGGCTGGCGGGAGGGACTCACACACATCTGTCCGCAGGGCAGGCTCTGGGACTCGGGGCTCCACCCGACGGGCTCCGGTGGGTCTGGCCGGGAAGCGGAGGTCGGAGCTGCGGGTCCATGCAGGGAGCCAGCGCTCCGGGGGAGGGCGCTGGCCGCAGTAGCTCGGCTGACAGGGTGCAGCCTGGCAGCGGAGACAGGTACCTGGCGTCAGGGAGCTTGGGACAGACACAAGAGGGCGCGGGTGTCCTCAGACAAGCGCAGGTGGGGAGAAGGCGCCAGCCAGGACGGCCCCTGGGGCGGAGGGAAAGGACGCAGGCGGTCTGAGGGCAGGGAGGGCGCACTCGGGGGCACAGCCACTGCGTTCCCATCCCCACGTCGCATCGGTGCTTCGGCTGGGACCCTGGGGCTCACAGACGGGGGCTGGGGAGATGAATTAACGTCTGGGGTGTTCAGAGCACGGTGGGAACGAAGGCCAGGGGGCGTGTGAGCCCCTCCAGAGGGCGGGGGCTGCCGCTGGACACGGCTGTGCTGCAGACCGAGCCTCTCTCTGCGTGAGCCCCACTGGGCTGCAGGTTCCTGCCCCTGAGTAGATGTCCGCCTGTCCCTCCCACAGCCCCACCTCCCCCCCCCAGGCCAGCAGCAGCCCCTCCGAGAACCGCTGGTGAGAGCACTTCCTCCGCACATTCGACACCGCCCAGCAGCGTTGGCCCGATGGTGCCCGGTCAGCCCCGAAGTGGTGGGGTCGGTGGCTTTCAGCCCGAACAGGCTGAAGTCCCAGCAACAGAAACTCAGTGGAAACAGCTCCGGAAATGGGGCAAACTAACTCCCCAGGTAAGAACGGCCTGCGGAGCTCGTGGCGGAGCCAGGCGAGTGTCCAGAAGCGCCCCTTCTGTGCCGGAGAGCGGCCGCTCTTACTTGGAGATTCTCGCTCTCACCGAGAATAGGATTCCCCTATAAACCTCTGTCCCCACAGGACCTGGGTTTCTCGCTCAGCCGACCGTGACTGTACTATCGCCTTTTCCTCCCTATTTAAAGTAAAAGTACGAGCAGGATGGGAGAGGAATTCAGGGAGCAAATGTGGTCATTTTTGGCACGTTCACCCAAGGTCTTGTTTCGCTGGGTGTCAGGCCGGGCGGAGCAGCCCGTGTGACCCCCGATGCTGAGGGCCAGCCCACCCGGCCGCTGCGAGCCCCGTAAGGCCGTGCGCAGACAGGTGGGCTAACTGAACAAAGGCGCACAGGAAACACAGGAGTAAACCTGTGCTCGATTTCCAGGAGATGCACGCACCAGCAGTATTCAAGATGAAAAAAAAGAGAGATTTTCCAAATGTGAAAAAATACTCTATCTGCATAAAAGTTGGAAAAGAAAGTAAACCATGGACAATCATTCCCGTAACCTTTATTTTACAATTCTCACAAAAAAATAAAAATGGCAGGTCTTTCTCATCATCTTCTCTATTCAGTAACTGTGTTTCTCAGCACCTGGGAAATGAGGCGGGAGCCCAGGTGTGAACTCACCTGTGGCAACGTCAAGGCAGCTCGGGGCCGTGGGGCTCTGGCCTTTGGAAGTTTGTCGACTGTCATGCCACGAAAACATCAATTATTGACTCCAACCCACCGTCAGAAGTAATCTGACCCTGCTGACTGGTCTGTCTGCGTGCAAGGTGAACGTATCCTCCGGATCGTCCTATCCGGCTTCCTTCTCTCTTCCTCAGTTGACCTCGCAGGCGAGGTCAGACCGGTGCCCGACTGGGAACCGAAGACCAGCCCGCAGTGGGCAGTCATGACACGCCAGCACTCCCACCAGTGACCCCCAGACCTTTCCCCTGTAACCCACGTGTTCTGACGCTTCAGATCTCCTTCTACAGATCACAGACCTAAGGACCATGAATGGGAAATATTCTACTCGATTCTTTTAATCAGCAGTGGGTTTTTTGACATCTGATTATGATTTTGATCCTGGGGATCAAACCAGTCTAATTATGGATTAATGGTGTACAGGGTTTTTTTGTTTTTACTTTCCACGTATTCACTTGACTCTCTGGCTCAGACAGGCAGTGCTACAATCACCCGTCAGGAGCTGATCTGCAAGGACGTCAGTCAGTTTCCAAGTGCAGACGGTCCCCCGGGGTGGTCTGACGTTACAGTCGTGGGAAAGTGACGGCGGTCAGTAGAAACCGCGCATATTCTTTTAAGACAAAGCATTTTATCAGGGGTGCAGTTCAACAGTACTTTTTGAATAGCTAAAGTATCTTTTTCTTCAAACTTTAAAATAGTATTAGTTTGGCCAAAAAGTCCATTTAGTTTTTTTTCTGTAAAATAAAAGATGCATTTTATATTTTCACAAATAACTTCACTGATCTGGATATTTGCAGCATGTCAGCTGTCTCCTGCTTCTGGTGGGCTGAGGCCTGGGCCCTGCTCAACACCTTCCAACGCACGAGACAGGCCCCCGGCAAAGGATAATTTGGTCACAGCGTCAGTAGGACCAAGAAAGTTCGCAAACTACTTTTGACACGTTCCCCCAGTCACGTCACCCTGTCCACACTCACAAGTCTTGTTTTGCACTTAGGTTTTTACCTTTCTCGAAATAACAAAGTACAATTCACTGAAAATGCTGCATATTTTCTTCCATCGTCAATATTAAAATGGCTACATGAAAATTCACCAGTTTTGATGATTTTAAAAAATGCACGCTGATAGGACAGCTGTCACACACAATCAAAATTGTTTTGAATGAAGTTAAAGACCACTAAGCACTACTAGACTCACCGTACGGGAAAAACCAGATGAACTCTGGCCCACCCTGCAGCACCTTCCACGGGCCGGGGCACAAACACTCGTAACCCCTTCAGCCGTGTGCGGTTCTCCGTCCCCCTTCGCAACCGCACATCCGGGCAAGAGCAGGGGGTCAGAAGAGGGGCCCTCCCCTGCAGTGCGGGCTTTTCATTCACAGCCTGGTGTGATGCCAGTACCGCCTCGGGGCTTCGTGGACTTGATCCATTTATGGGGCCTTAACAACAACCCTAGGAAGCACTTACAGGTGAGGAAACAGGGTGCAAACCGATGCCGTCATTCAGCCAAAAAAGCAACAGAGAGAGAAGAAGGGGGTCCTCTTCTCTGTCACCAGGCTGTTGACAGGACCCCAGGCCACGCTCATGACCTTGAAGAGCCTGGCCTTCCCAGAGAGTGAGGCCACGCCCCCTTCCCTCTCACGCTAAGGGGCAGCCTGCAGACGCACACGAGAACATGTGGGAGGAGAGCACGAGGGGGGGGAGGCCCGGCCTGCTGGGCAGTGGCACTGGGAGAGGCCGGCGCACTGAGACCCCCCCGGCCCTCCAGAGGGAACTGCCTGGTCAGAAAGCACCGGGCCCTCAGAGCACAAGGCTCCTGGGTCACCTGGAAGTCCTCGCTGGCGGGACAACAGTGCTGAGCCACTCTGAGCCCTGCACCCCATCCAACTCCTGCCGCCTCCCACGCTCTGTGACACCGAAGCGGGACCCCAAAATGACTTCACGCAGGGCCGAGCTGTGCGTCGGCTGGTGCGGTTCACCCAGTCTTTGTCAAAGCTACGGGCCAGCGGGGGACTCACAAGCACGTGGCGACCACTGTAAGGATGTCCAGACCGGGACTCGGGGTTTGCCTGTCCGACTGAAGCCTGAGAAACAGACCCGCCAGGTCCTTGGTCACCGACGGGCCTCGCAGCGTTTTGCTGGAACCATGTGCTCGTGAACCGGGGCCCCAGGAAGCTCCCCGCGATGCGGGCAGCACAGGGCGTGCTCCGCAGGACCCGGCGTCTGCGCGCTCGCTCCGGGCTGTCTGCGCGGCCCCTGGAGCGGTGCGTCGGAGCGCGGCTGCGTTTCCTGCGGAGGCCGAGACTGTTCAAAGCGGAGTTTGGAGACAGTCTCACGGAGCTCTCTGCCATATGTTAGACAAAACTCGATGTGCAAAATCATCGGCTTCCAGCCCCCCAGGGCTTTCAGAAGAGTAAACAGGAGCTCGGGCTATAAAAATATAGCAAGCATCTGTCTGCACAGGAAATTCTGCTCTGAGATTCTGCAAACAGCGCCTACTTACATTCACACGAGAAACCAGATCTCGAGGACTGTGGAGGCGGCAGTGCGCCATCTTGTCCAAAATGTGGAAATACGGGCTGTCGTTCCGGCCGGTGGGCGGGTGAACGGGGCCTCCGGTGCTGGGTCGGGCGGGGCTGGCGGCGGGGTCCCTGCACCTGCGCTCCCAGTGCCAGGACAGGGCCGCTGGGCCACAGGCCCTGTGCACACACGTCTACCCAGTGCGCCTGCGGTGCGCCCTCCGCCCCTCCACCAGGACCCCGAGTACCGCCCACGCCGTGTCTGGCACGGTGTCCTTCTAACTCGTACTTCTCCCCCACTCCCCGACCCTTTGAAGAGCTCGGTCCACAGTCACTCTGCAGGGGCGGGCGTCCCTGCGTCCACCTGCAGGAGGCTGAGGAAGGACACCTTTCTCTGACTTCCGTCTGACCTGCGTCCCCCTTGTCACCTACAACGTGTCACTGCTTTTGCTCCGATAAAAGCCACATCTTCCCCTCGCAATGTTCCATTACCTTCCTGAGACTCACCGCTGAAACCCACACCCGCAGCCTCCCTCGGACCTGAGTGCGAACCCCCGGCCGACCTCACCGCTGGGCTCTGCCCACAGCGGGGAGTTCACGCCCTGCCTGCCCTGCCCAAGGGCTCAGGGACTCCCCACCAGAACCCACCTGCCTTTCCCCCTAACCCGGGCCGGTATCACCCACTCGCCGTATTTTGCAGTGTTATAATACGCACCCATGTTTTGGGCCCAAACTTTCAGAAAATGAGTCTTTGTTTTAATTTTTAATTCAATTTTTGATTTATTTATATTTAGAAATGAAACTGATTATTGCATTCCAGGGTATTGTTTTGCATGAGGATATCACTGCTTCCTAGAGTTACACTTTTATCATATAAGCATAAATAAAGGAATTAAAAACATTTTGTAGATGCAGAATTAGTACTACCCATGTATAATGCGCATCCTTATTTTCCCCTCAAAAATTTGGGGGAAAAAAAGCTCATTATTCACAGCAAAGTATGGTAACTCCCTTTAACCACGAAGCCATAAATTTTTCCTCTGTTCTTTTCCCACCTTTATGTTGCCCGGTTCCTACCCAGCGTTCGTAGTATTATCACGTGGCCATCAGCAAGCCCCTCGCCCTGGGCCGCCTTCCCCGGTTTCAGAGCTGCTGTCCTGCCTGCACTGTCCTCTGTACCAGGCGAAGCTCTGGGGCGGCACCTGTTCTCCTGCTGCCAAGCACACAAGGGTTAAATGCCGCCCCTGGGTGAGGCTGCCGTGGGAGGCGCGCGCTCTGGGCCTGCTTCACCGGGGTGGCCGGACCACCTCCCTGAGTCTGTCCTTGCCCTGCCTGTCCCTGAAGACACGCGGACACAGCGGACTGCTCGCCCAGCCGCGCCTGTGGCGGGGGCCTGGCCACCCTCGGCCCATCTGCGGGCAGCTGGCAGTCTGTCTTCTCCGGGGCCGGGCCTCGGGGGTCGGAGGCTGCTTCGCTGGTCTGTGCCCCCCGCCCCTGCCTCGCACACAAGCTGGTGTCCTTTCTGGCCCCTCCAGTGGGGCAAATCCGCAACTCTTGCCCCAGTCAAAGGCAGGCAGAAACTGCAAGGGTCTCGCTAGGTGTCACCAGCTGTGGGCAGGCGGGTCACATACACGGCTGAGACCGCTGGCCGCGTCTCGGGCCCACCTCCGGAATACGGCCGCTGCCACCTGGGTATTCTCACATCGCCACTGAGTTCGAAGGAGGAAATAAAACCGTCTGCGCAAACCCATTCCCTGCCACTCCATCACACGCCATGCACGCATGTAACGTCACACACTCTCCTGCGTGTCCCTCCTCTGCACGCCTGCTCCGTGAAGCACTGGGCACTGTGCCCCGACGGACAGCTGTGCATTGTCACCATCTGATGTGAAGGTGGCAAAGCTCAACCACCGTCTGACCCTTCATTTCGGTGTGGACGTCGGGCAGTCCGCCCCGCCGGACCCCGACCGGACTGCCCGCTGGACCCCGATGAGCCGCGGCACAGGGTGGGCTTGCCTCCCCCACCCACGCGGGTGGGCGCCAGGCGACCTGGCCCCGCCTGTGAGAACCGATGTCACAATTCTGCAGGGTGGGACGGTCTTGAGGGACTGGCCGAGAAAGGCCTCGTGAGGAAAGACTCGTTACGTCTCTGCTGTGAGATGCCCACTGTGGTGAGCTACAGAACCAGGGAGCTTTACCACCTGTGCCGCTTCCCTTAAAAAACTGATTTTACTTTGGGAGATACAACATTAATGCGTGAAAAAAAGGAGAACAATCAAAATAATACGCAGTTTGGGGCTGAGTTACCCACTCTCCTCCTGGGGGTTGGAAAGGCAGAAATCACCGTGAAGGCGTCAGGAACGGAGGTCTCCAGGGCTGAACACGGACCATGAGGACGGCAAGCAGACAACGCAGTCCCTGAGTGGCAGGGGTCTGGGGGGGACGACAGGGAGGAAGAGACCGGCCTGAGTCGGGAGCAGAGGGGACAGAACTGCTGCCCTGAGAGGCACAGCCTCGCTTTAAATGACCGGTGTTCGTAAAGAGGAGGAAGAGCAGCGTCACAGTTGCTGTGACGGTCGACCCTGTGAAGACCGAGTGTGTGAAGCTGCCTGAAAACACGCGGAGGGGGACGGATCCGGAGACGGACCGGGGCCCCAGGACAGAGGCCCGCAGTCGGTGCGGCCCCTGCAGCCCCGCCCGGCCCCGGGGTGGGGGGGCAGGAGCAGGTCCCCGAGAGGCGCAGGGACACCCGGTGCTTTCCCGCCCTCGGAGTCTCTGCTCTTCGCATGGAGAGCTCTCAACGCAAGTTCTGTTCAAAACTGACCCTCCCAGAAGCTTTTGACATTTCATAAATCACTTCACCAGAAGGGCTGTCTAAAATAAATAAAAAGAAAACTTTAAATGTGTTTGGGTATCTAGAAAGTTGCCCGCAATCAGCCATGACATTTTGAAAGCCCAGCTTTTTTCCCCACCAAATAAATACACTTTCCTGGGATGTTGATTTCTGCCCCCTGTATTAGGGCAAATTCTGCTTTATGAACAAATACAACTAACTAAAGCTTTCTGATGATGAAGCTGATCTTCTCGATTACCTAAATTTAGTTTATTCCCATCTGAGCCAAAACCCAATTTTCATGTGGGCCCATGCGCTTGGAGGATTTCTGTTAAATTCTGTCAGGGTTTTCTGCTGAAATCAAACACCCGTGGGAGGTTTAATCACACCTCTCTCTACACTCATGAGGCTGTGGACGTGGTGTTTTAAAAGTAAGAAGCAAAAAGGTTTCTGCTAGGAAAACAGCCCGTGCTCACTGCAAAAACAGATGAGACTTTGTGCTGTGTTGCTGCCGAAATAACAGTTTCCCTTATTAACCAGGCACTGTAAACCTGCTCTCAACTGTGACTGTTTCATTGTCCTGTCACTTGGTGAGTCCAAGAGAAAGAGGGCAGCTGTCGTCTGGCTCGGAGTCACGGGAACAGGGACCTGAAGAGACAGTGTCAGAACGGCACGGCCATGGTGGGCCGGGTGAAGTCTCAAGAACTGGGGGGTCTGTGAGTCAGGGGTGCCCTGCGGCCTGCGCACATTTGCTCAGCAGCTGAAGCAACCGCAGCGCCTTAAACTTCACAGGGAGGTGCACTGATCACCAGTCATTAGCTGGTAATAAAAGGGCCGACCCTGCAGATCTGAATGCACAGCCAGGGGAATGGAGACATAAATGTGGTTTTTAAAAAAGACCCATGCTCCAAACTCAAGTGCTTTAAGCGACACTCACCTCCTCTCTGTGCCTCGGAAACCTGTGCCTTACCGAGAGCAGCCAACGTAGGTAGCTCCCAGCCCCTCTGCGTGTCTCTCGGACCCCAATACTCCGTGGTCCGAGCCCCTCGCCAGGTCACTCGGCAGTAGAGTTCCTTTGAGACTCTCAAGTGGCAAGCAAGGCACAAGCCGGGTAGAAAAACAGCCTCGGTGACTTTAGGCCTTAGAAATGAAAGCGGCATGTTTTTTTCTCCTGTTGGACTAGGTGCAAAAATGATGGGAGTAACTTTTAGCATAAAAAAGCTGCAGCCGCACAGAAACCAGAGGGACATTAGGCCCCAGAGGTGAGCGGGCCCACCAGGCAGAAAGGTCAAGGTCTGGGCCACATCCAGGGTGACATGGTTCTGGTGCGGGGAGTTACGGGGGGCTGGAGAGGAAGGTTTGGGGGAAAAGGGATGCTCTGCAGGTGGCAGGCCCTGCCCCCCTCCCCTGGGAGAGCAGAGGGGGTGGCGCCCCAGCCTGGCTCCCCCCAGGAGAGGGACACATTGGGACTGGTGACCCTGAGGCAGGGGAGAGGCCGGCTGCAGGGCTCTGTGTGGGAAGGGGAGCGGCCACATCTGGAGAGACCCACCCTCTTCCCCAGGGCCAGGCCGAAGGCCCCCGGTGCGGGGCCCAGATGTGGAATGCCCAGGGGCAGTGCTGTTCCGGAGTCCCGTTAACGGGACCCCGCCCCAAGGCGGCCGACACAGGCCAGGGCCAGCAGCAATGGAGGGCCCCGCTGGTTTTGCACGCATGCCACCCCGTGATGGTGTCCCGCATCCCTGCCCGTCTAACTCCACGTCCCAAACACTCAGGGACTGGGAGCCCCAGGTGGCAAGACCCGGCCTGGAGTCCCACGCAAGAGAGTGAGCAGCACCCAGCCAGCCTCTCCTGTGGATTCGCTCCTGCCCGGAGTCGCAGCGGAGATGGAGGAGGAGGAGGGCGAATTCTGCAGCCAGTGGGGAGTTTGTATTATTTTCTGGGCCAGGAGATCACAACTACTTAAGTCTGCGTTCACAACTTACAGCCACACAGGACCTCCTGCCACCTGTCCGAGTCTCCATCAGGACGGGACAGTCACACGCGCTGAACCCATCGTGAAGAAGGGGCAGTGCGGAGAGCAGTCAGGTCACTGCGGCCGTCACGCCCGTAAATCCCAAGTGCCCGGTATGCGTGTCGCCCGTGACGTTTAGGAACGCAGACCCCGTACGTGGGCTCGAGTGGCAGCCTGACGAGGACACGTGCCTCTGTGAGGTGTGGCAGCCGTGGCTGTGCCGACAGAGCAGACAGCGGCAGCTCGCGGTCAGAAGTCGGCCCAGGGAGCTACCACAGCCACCACGGGACGTCGTGCAGCAGAGCACCGGGAGTGGCCACACAGTAGATCCACCTACAGCTTCAAAGTCCACACTGATCACAAAATAAATGGACGCGATGTGCTCAGAGCGGCCGACTGACTTGTGCACTCGGGGCAACTCCGCAGTGAGCTCGCCTACCCTCCTCGGACTGGGAGGGACGGTAGCAGCACGTCAGCCTCTGGGACGAGAAGTCAAGGACGGTCTAAACGCTGCGTTTGCTCAGCCCTGTGCAGCCGCCGGTGCTTCGTGAGTGGTTCCTGCACCTCACTGTCCCCAGTGTCATCGCGCTGAGTCCCCACCAGTAACTCATCTGGAAGTGTCAACGCCGCTCTTCCCCGCCACAGGCTGATGGAAACCCTCTCCCTCCCTGCGGTCCCTCCGCTGTGCCTGGTTTCTCTCCCCCGTGACTCACCACCAACCTAACACTGAGCCATCCGAGCCCATCGGACGTCCTAATCATGCTTCCCGGGCGTGACAGCCGGTGCCAGGAAGGCCACACCCACCTGACAGGACAGTGGTCCTCAGAGCAGCGCCCGGCTGTCACCACCAGGGACCCCCAGACCGCAGCTTCCACCTGCCTCACAGGGCAGCCAGGGCTGCGCGAACCAGTCCCGACACCTTGTCACAACAGTCACCACCAGACAGCGTCCGACCCAGTGGAGGTGCCCAGAGGGTGGCCCCGAACCTGGAGAGGCGTGGAGGGGACAGGGGATGGGGTGGTGGTGTCTCCCAGGTACCAGAAGCCACAGGCAGGGGCGCAGGGATGCGTTGGTGGGAGTGAGGTGGGGGGCAGGCGCGGGGACCGAGGAGCAGCAGGGGCGAGGCAGCCTGGACTCCGCAAGCTCCCGGAGCTCAGGTCTGGAGCCGCACTCGACACAGTGACACTGAACACGGAGCGGGTGGCGCCCCCACGGAAGACGTGCTGCGAGCACGGAAACCTGGCGCTGACGGCAAATGTGACGTGCGGTCCTAATCAGCGCGGCGTGTCCCCAGTTAGCAGTGCACAGCTGTCCACGCCCCAGCCCCCCGGCTGCCCGCCAGCACTGGGAGAAGCGAGCGGCCAGCCTGTTCCTCCCCAGGACGCGGTTTGCTCCCTGGTCCCGGCAGCGACACCGGAACGCCCTCGGCTCCGTGGTACAGGCTCCGGGCAGAGCAAACCACCCGGCGTGTTGCCACTGGCTGCAGGTTCACCAACGAGTCGTGTTTCGTTCTCACACACCCCAGTGCCGATGGCCCTGCCTTTCCCAGGAAAAACAACCACGTGTAAGTGCCTTGTTGCAAACACCGACATCCGCCAGGCTGGGGAGGAGGCTCCTCGGTTGCTGCTCAGTAAATCGGGCGCCTTTGGCAGAGCCTCCAGCCGCTGAGTTTTAAGCAGCTAACTTGACCTTTTGTAACCTCTACTTACCCGTGGTGGGCTTCTAGCAAAATGGTTCTAGAAACGCACTTGCCGTTTGATTTGGCATTTTCCTCCTCGTTGGATTCTGTACATGCAGTGAAGATCATTGATTTGGTCCATTACATCCCTCAGAAACAAACAACCCAGACAGACCCTCAGTTCTGAAGCTCTGAAGTTACAGGGGCTTCCTCCCGTGGGAAGACTGAGGCCCACTTTCCCTGGGGGCGACCTTCTCACGTTTCTTCACGTCTTTCTCTTCCGTGCACAACTCGTCGTCACGTGAGGAATTGCCCAAAGTAAAGTGACACCGTGGTTGTCCTGCGTCAGAACAGGGGTGGGGAGAAATACTGTCGGGTGTGCAGCTAAGTTGTGAGCCGAAACCCTCCCGCCGTGTCTCTGTTCCCCGCAGCCCTGGGCGTGCCCCGTGCTCCCCAACGAGAATGAGGTGAGGGAAACTAGGAGGCTTTCTGTCAGTGTTGCAGGGACACTGAGAATATGTGGTTCACAGCCCCCCGGAAACAGGCCAGAAGGAAACCGAGGGGTTCTCGGTCCTGGCCAAGCAGCCTGCCTTGGGCGCTGGATCTGCAGCAACGGGAAACGAGTCCGGTCAAGTCCGCCGTCGGAACGGGTCCGAGGCGGTGGGGTGGCTTTGTGTGCCGTGCCCTGTGCCTCCCGGCACAGATCACACACGAAGGCAGAGCCGAAAGCCTGGGAAGTTCCTGTTCCCTGTCACCTTCACCCCTGCTGACCAGCCTCGGGCCAGCAACACAGCTCGCCCACCAGACCCTCCCTCACTCGGGGGCACGTCCTACACTCTGCTCGCACAAGCACAAGAGGGGCACCTTGCCCAGCACTGTCCCAGGTTGAAAAGTACCCGCAAAGGGAGGTCGAATGTCTAGTGTCACGAAAACACTTGTGCCTCTCAGCTTCCCGTGTCCTGGCCACTGCAGATACCAGTCAAGTGGAACACGGACACCGAGATTTATTGGTGAATCTTTTCATAAAAGTAAAGCAAGAAATGTGAAGTAACTAGGAATGTACGGGACCAGCTGGCAGACTGTGAGCGACACCCGTCAGCAGGTACGAGGGAGGGAGGCGGCCAGCTGGTCCACCTGAGCACGTGTCTGTCGCTGTGACGAAGTGCCATTTGCTGTTACTGGGCTAGTTGAAAAAGTGACCAAAGAGTGCCTCCAACAGACACTAGCAAAGGACTTCCGAGTGGCAGTGTGAGTTTCTTCAATCTCTCAATAGCCCATCGTTGTCAAAAATGTTGGAGGGGATAAGGAGGGGGAAGTAAGAGAAAGAGAAATAAAGCTACCACAAAAAATAACCAAAATTTTAAGTCCTGTTTTTTAGAAATACCTAAATTGCAAAGGTCTTACTTATCAATTCCATGATTGTATCGGTCTGCTGTTAGCGATTTCAAGCGCCCCCCAAAGCGTTCTGTTCGTGGAAGTTCTCAGATGTATGTATGTTCAGGCAGAGCGAATAGAAATGTAATTAAATATTCCTGGTCACAGTGGAGGCTTTTTGTGTGGAAGCCTACGGGGTTGGTTCTTTAGAATATAGGCCGCACTGTTTCCTCTTATTTCTGTTTGTAAGTAATTACGTTTTCCTGCTTTATTATATCAAATCTTAGCACAACCTTTCTCTCTTCTGGGCCACTTTACTTCAATCAATTGTCTTGAATATTTCTTTCAGTCTCTTAATAAATGGACCTATTACACTCATTACGATGATGATTATAATAACCATTATTACTATTCATTCACAGGGCATTCTATATTTTAAGAAAGTACTAGGCCTACGTGAATTATGTCCCTGGTTTTTTCTATAGCAGCGTAAATGCCACAGCGGTTTTCTTTGCCACGGAAATTCTCATGCAGTGTTAGTCCCCTTCTCTAACGCTGACCAATGAAAAGCAGTAGCTTTATTTTAAAATGCCCATTCCAAATCCCAGGCCAATGTCCTCAAACCTACAGGATTCAAATATACTGTAAATAAAACGCTGTGATTGTTTTAATGCATCTGCTTCCTCAGAAAGAGTTCATCCCATCTAGCCAAGCACTGAAGACTTTTCTTAAAGGACGTGTTTGGTACCCAGAACAGCAGACCCGGCGAACACGGGAAGGCTCTGAGTGTTACTGATGGAGAACAGCTCGTGGTTGTCTCAGCAAGAACTCAGTCACTCCCTCTTGTCATTGTGGCCTCGAATAAATACAAACCAGAGGGCACCCGGTTAATGCCCATGTCAGCACTGATTATTTTTATACCAGTTGAATGGATTGAAATTACGAAGCCCCAACATCCTGGGGTACCATTGCCCCCAGTTCAGAGGAGTTCACACAGCACGAGTCCCTCACGGGGACTGTCCGGGACAAAGCACTCGGCATCTGCCTCATCGCCCCAGCCTGGGCACGTGGAACTCATTTTAGTTGTGATGAACTCTCTTAAAACCTCAGGGAAAATGCCGAGAGCAAGACCTCACCCGGTGAGGTGCCAGAGGGCACTCACGCAATGAGAGTATTTGGGACCTGCCCCAAATCCAAAAATGTGTCACGACGTCACGGACGGCAGTCCCATGTCCCAGCCTTGCTGCAATTAGAATCCCGTGTGTTTATACCCAAGTTCATGTGCCTTTTCAGATCAGCATTTTCATGACCCACCTGTCCAACTACGGGAATGACCGCCTGGGCTCGTACACCTTCGTGAACCTGGCCAGCTTCGTGCAGAGCTGGACCAACCTGCGGCTGCAGACTCCACCCCCGGTGCAGCTGGCCCACAAGTACTTCGAGCTCTTCCTGGAGCAGAGAGACCCTCTGTGGCAGGTAAGACTGAGTCGATAATTGGTGTAGTTAGTCCCCTCCCCCCAAACATAGCTTGGATCTCTGTAAGACCATTTAAATCTGAAAAGTGAAGGCATCTGGGGGCTGGGGTGGGGTGAGAGGAACTGGAACATTGTGGGAACGTTAGTAGGTTTGAGAAACTGCTTCTTCCTGAACCGGAGCTTTATGTCGCTGCTCCGTGATAGGCCGACTCTCTGCCCTGCGCCCAGTGGGGACGCCGGGGTCGGGAAGCCCCAGGAGGGCTCCAGGGCGTGGGGTGTTTTCAGTCGGGAGGGGTGAGTGTGCAGACAGCAGGGTCCCTGCGAGGCAGGCAGCCAGCTGGTCCACCTGAGCACACCCCCGTCTCCGGGGACAAACACGTTCAAGGGACAGGCGAGGCACACCCACACTGTCATCTGCCTCCGGAACCGTGGGGGACAGCAGCAGCTGGGGGACACAGGCAGCTTTCAAAGTATTGTTTGGGGATGACTTTGGACATGGCAAAGTCACTGAGCTTCTCAAGAGAGTATGTCACCTAAATATGACATCTCCAAACTGGGGGTAACTGGGATTTCACAGAGGACGGTCTCACGTGCCCTGGAATTGCAGGCACGTGTTCTGAAGTTAAACTGCCCCCTCCGTGATCTGGGGGAGGTAGTCATCTCACAAAATTACGTAGCACTTGCTGAGTGTTAGACCCATTCAATCCTCACAGCTCCCCTGTGTGGTCTGTGCAGTTATGATCCCCATTTTACAGACCAACAAACTGAGGCACAAAAGCTGAGACACTAAAGCAAGGCCACACAGCTCGTGAGTGGCGGCCTGGGAGTCTCCCAGGCCATCTGTCCCAGAGACGGTGCCATCAGTCACCGGCCCAGCGCTGCTAGAAACACCGGCAGCTGACGGCACAGTAACACGCTTCCAGTGCGGTGTTCAGTCAAGTCGCAGGCTGAACTGAAGCAAGCTCCAGACTCTATGTTCAAGTCCATGCAGCTTTGAACTTGAGCTAATCGCCTCCTGAGCACAGGCACATGACCCCAAACCAGTCATCACTACACATTGGAGCAGGTCACCATTGCTGGTTGTGCCATTATCGCTGCGCCTTGTCTAGAATTGCCATAACACACATTTTTCTACCGTGACCACTACCAAACCTCACGGAATGTTGGCCTCCGGAAAGACACACAATCTTCCCGCTGTTTAACACCTGCCTTCAAACTGAAATCCTTATGCTTTCAGGTGACAGGTCTTTCACCCATGTTTTTCCAGGAGAACAGCCAACAGGGGCAGCTCACGTTAGCGTTGACATCTGCCTACAGCGCTAACGAGAGTGCGGACCTGTCTGCCCATCTCTGTGACAGTCGTAGGCGTCCTGTCAACTCGTCATGTGACACGCATGTTGAAGTTAAAATCAAGGATGTTCTAGATCAGAGTTTCGACTGCTGCACCGCTGGAATTCGTACAACAGCAGCACCTGACTGCTTAGTCAGGGGCACTGACCTCTTCTGCCTGGGATTGCAAAAAAAATGACAACAGCCAACACAATAGTTGTCTGGTGTGAATTAATCAAAATTCTACCTGTTTCTTGTCGGGTCAGCAGAACCTCGCTCGGTGAGCTGCGGGGTTTGGGCAGTTCGCCCACGTGCGCCCAGAGGGGAAAGGTGGAGAATCGCTGCTCTACACCAGTCTCACATGTGTCCCTACGGCTGTGATTCAGCCTCGTTTTTCCGTTTTGCTAAAATTTAGTGCTTTTTGGCGTGATAGTCTGCATAGTTTCAGATACACATTCGCTGACCTCTGAAGGTGGCTGTGAGAAATCTGCTGTCTCTTCAAACGGTTATAGCCAGGGCCGCACTCCCGTGAGGCCACGCAGGACAGCTCGGATGGAGCTCCTAGGATGGAAACCAGGCACCTATGTGTACCAGTCACTCACCAGGGCGGGGGCTGCAGCGTCCGTTAGCGCGGGAGTGCTCACGATTGCTGGCACACACGTGCACACACACATACACACACACACTCGTGCACGCACAGCAGAGCTGCCCGCCAGAGGAGAAACGTCCCACTCAGCGCTGCGGCGTCTCCGGGGTGGAAATGTGTCCCCTCCACCGCTGGCCCAGCGGCCACTCAACCTCAGGGTGGGTGGGCTCTCTTTCCCTGGAAACCTCGGGCACACGGGACACTCCAGAGCAGCCAGTGCCTCTCTGCCTTCTCCCCCGACCCAGAACCCCTGCGAGGACAAGCGCCACAGAGACATCTGGTCCAAGGATAAGACCTGCGCCCACCTGCGGAAGCTCCTGGCGATCCGGCCACAGCAAACCGGTGAGAGCGCGTTCCATTCTGACAGACGGGTGGGCGCAGCCCGGTGAGCGCCCCCCCCCCCGACACACTAAGTCACACCCGCAAACGCATTTCGTTCCCACGCTGTCTCCCTTGAGGTCAGCAACGTGCTCGCCCGGAAGTGCTGGTCAAAGCGGTGTTTAAAGTAAAAAGGAAGAAAATATCCTATTTTTCGGAGTATAAGACGTACACCCCCAAATTTGGGAGAAGTAATGGTTGTTAATGCTGCTATTGAGGTCTCTTTACATTTACATTGGTGAAATATTATGTTATTTATGTTATTAAATATTTTACCACATTTTTTTGCTTCCAATTTTTTTCCCTATTTTCCTCCTCTAAAACCTAGGTGTGTCCTATGGTCTGAAAAAATGTGGTGGATGTCACTCAGTTTGAATGCCCAGCGGTCAGTTCGGTGGGAACTGTTACTTTTATCCAGAAAGCTTAACTGAAATGTGTTGCGATTAACATTTCTAAAATCAAAACGAATTGTGTGTTTAGAGAGCAGCCAACGAGACCCCGGTGGAGGTCAGACGGACACGTGTAAGTCCCTAGGACTCGGTGAGAAACGCTTCCTCAAACCAGGCTCTTCCGGCCGCCTGGGTGCCACAGTTCCTTTCGAAACAATTTCTTGCAGACATGACGATTTTCTGAAAGCCTGAGGACATTTGATAATCAAAATTCCTAGACATAAGCAAAATGTTGTGCTAAGAAAGGTATTTATTCACACCCAGGAGAAACTCTTTGTACCTTTTCTTAAGCCTGTGTACAAGCTTTTTCTCATAAACTTTGATTTCTCTAAGAATCAGTATTACAGCAAAAGCCCACTGGACATTTTGAAACGCCCAGCACTTCACGTCTCCTGCCTGGGAAATCCTCTGGGACCTCGGTCACGCAGGAAACAGCCCTTCAGCCGCGCGCCCACGGGAGCAGCGGCCTCCTCCCCTCGGGCCTTCGGAAGGGACCGGAGAGCGCTGCGCGGTCACGGGCACCGGGAGCTTCCTCTCTCAGCCCCATTCGCAGGTATCGGTCAGTCCGGGAACAACAATGACCAGGACGAATGCTGTCTTGTCCTCATTCATCACACGCGTCCTTACCTACTGAGAGTCAAGAGGCAACTGGAACAGCACGCGCACCAGTCAGCAAGCTCCCGTCACCACGCAGGGTCGTCAGTACCGCCCGTCCCTCCGTGTCTCTGCGGGCGGGGCTGGCTTCCGAGAGTTCTGCAGGGCACACCCCCCCCCCCAGCGCTGTGCTGGACACACAGACCTGTGAGATCCTGGTTAGACGGCAGAATCACTATTTGTCATCCTAAATGCCGTTGGGCTTCCAAATGCTTGCGTTGCGTTTTGCCTGTGACATTTACCTTTGGAAGGGAATTCTTTTATCTCCTTTCTACAGGAATTGAATTCTCCCCGTTTGATAGAGGTACGGCTTGCACACAGTGAAATTCACCCATTTGAAATGTGCAGTTTGATGAATTTTGGAAATTACAGATGGTTGTGCAGCCGACACAACATTCGAGATGCAGAATCCATGTCCCTGAAAAGAGCCCCAGGTCCCGTCCCAGTGAGTTCCCCTCCCCCGACTCAGCCGCAGGCAACCGCTTGCCTTCCTGTCCGCCTGCCTTTTCTAGACTCTGTAGAAAGAGCACAAAGTGTGCGCTCTCTGAGCTTGACTCCTTTCTCAGGGCACAGTGCTCCTGAGACTTGGTCAGGGTGTTGCGTATGTCAACATTTTGTGAAAAAATTTTTAAAGATTTTATTTATCTATCTTTAGAGGGGAAGAGAAGGAGAGAGGGAGGGAAATATCAATGTATGGTTGCCTCTCGTGTGTCCCCTGCTGGGAACTGGCCTGCAACCCAGGCATGTGCAGACTGGGAATCAAACTGCGATCCTTTGGTTCACAGGCCCGAACTCAATCCACTGAGGTACTACACCAGCCAGGGCTGAAGTTTTTTAAATTAGCAACAACGACAACAAAAAAACCTTCTTATTTTGAAAGTTAGTTCTATAAAAATTAAATAGCTTTACTTAAGTATTTTTATGGACAGTTTTGCACTTGTGTAGAATCACCTGGATACATGAATGTGTCAAAAATACAAAGACCGAACCTTTGGATGATTGTTTGAATGTGTCCATGATTCTGTGTGTGCATATGAACACACACACACACAGGACAGTTTACTCAGACCCAGGAACACGCACAGGCAGAGACGGGCTTCAGAAACCACACAGCTTTCTGGTAAAGGTCCGCTAAAGCCCGTCGCACCTGTCGCCGACCGTGAGAGCAATCGCATCACCCCCTTCTACCGTTGGCTTCATAATGCCATGCTATTCAAGCAAATAGCATGGTTTACTACCATTCTTACTGATAAAATCCAGAAAAGGATGCTTTCAGTTGATCTGAGAAAGGAATTAACCTGCTTTCTTGTCTTCACGTTTTAATAGCCTTACTTTCTATCCTTACAAGAGTCCGTTCTCATTTTTCAAATGCATCACTGGACCGTATCTGCACACGCTGGTTTCCACCCTTCCCACCACTCGGATGTGGAGCCGTGCAGGTGCTTCCACTCAGGTCACCACACGACCCCACGACCCGGGAGCCCTGGCAGCTGCGAAGCCCCTCCCCCACTAGAAAGATGAGGAAATGAAGACTCGGTTGGACCCTTTCTGTTCAAGTTCACAGGAGGTGTGGGCAGTAAAACCCATGACTCTGGAACTACACTTGAGGCTGGAAGCCCACGCTCCAGAGAGACTTACTCCCCTGTGGATTTCACACAGTGGGACTCCTTTCCCAACGCGTTTTATAGGTTTTGTGCCAGGTTCCTGCTCAGCCTGCGGTGCTCAGGGCTGAATCAGAAACTCTGGGGCAGGGCTCGGCGTCCTGGGCATGAGCCAGCCCACGCTTGCTACAGCTGTGCTGAGCATTCTCACTTTGCATAGCACAGATCATTGTGTCTCATTCCCTACGGTTATCTGGGATCGCGGGCAAAATGCTCGTTGTCTGGCTGGAAAATCATCTGTGAACCCTGCATCTCTCCGTTCATTATTTAGACCATGTTGCTGTTGACAGAGCTATTCTAACGATTTTTCTGTAGCACTAATACAGTAGATTTAAGTATAACGCTAACTAAAACTATCAGAGAGAGGAGAAAGTTCAAAACTTGACACAGACATTGTTACTGAGCAAAGTTAGAACAGAAATTTCTCCCCATGAGAGAAACATTTCATAAAGCCGAGTCTGATTGGTCAGATGCTCAGCACCCAGAACTGGCTCGCCCTGCCTCCGTGCAGCAGGCTAACTGGGCTCCACCCCTGGGCTCCTGAAAACACTCACCTCCAAGGTCACCGTTCGCGACCTTGCTCACTTCCAAACTCACACTCCTGGTCCCCAACATTTACATGGGCATCTGTGACATATCATTCTCTTTCAAAACATGCCAGTTCTCAGAGCCACGTCACTAAGAGAGGACACCAACCAAGAAAGGATAAGTGTTTCCAAACTTGGCAGTTGAAGCAGGTTTGGACACTGCTCTTTATAGCCATGTGAGCACACGCACAGCTGACCAGACTCGGTGACAGATGACACTCTGCCTCAGTGTCACAGGCTTTCAGAGCTTCCCCAGGAGGTGCCCGGGGTGGACGCTGGTCCAGTGCTGTCGCATGCTAGATGACGGCATCTCCCATGCGCAGCAGTGCGTTCCTCCTGTCCGGGCGTCCTCGGGGACCAGGCAGCTCCTCATCCTCAGAGAAAGCCCGGGAACCGGGCGAGGCAGGTGACTTTCTGCTAACAACACCGACTCCAAGAGACGCCAAAGCCGAAGTCAGGGACAGGGTGGAGTCGGGGCTGGCTCTCCGAGCCCAGAGACAGGCCTCTCCCCACAGCACCGGCTCCACGCAGTGCCGGCTCTGTCTCGTCCAGCCCAAGGAGGGCGTCTGTGTGTCTGTCTGGGTCGCCGCCATGCTCAGTGTACCCATCACTTTGCAATGCAAACAGCTGGAAACCATGCTTTCGCTTGACTAATCTCTGAACCTCCGCTGTCTCTGCGGGAACCACGGCTCTGTGCCCGTCCCTGGCCGAGTACCCCTCCATCCTTAGTAACTGCCCCAGCCCCCAAACCTTAGAGGAAGTACAGTTCTTTAATAGAAATAACCACCACAGGGGGATTGATTGGTAAGACGGGTTATTAGGATAAATCTAAAAGTTTATGTACTGTGCACTCATGTTTATAAACTTTTCCGTGTGTAGCCGCAAATAAATGTTATCCTCTGTGCCTTAGAGATTGAATTCTGCAGAACAGAAGCTGCTCAAACAAACTTTCCCCAGTTTCCGAGGGGACATGCTGAGAGCCTCGCAGGTCATTTCGATTTGCGCCGACCGCCTTCGCTGGCGGTCAGTCACGGGCGAGCAGGCAGAGGCCCGTGCACAGCGGGCACCCCAGTCCCCGCCCTGAGCAGACCCTCCGCAGCCTCTGTCCCTGTGCGCTTTGCACTGAAGTGACCCTGCCGTCCGTGTACAGGATTTTCCACTTTGCTTTGGTGTAAAAGGAAAATAAATAGAACTGGAAATGTGTATATATTTTATAAGTAATGAAAACCCTAAAAAAGATATCAACAATATACAAAACTTGATTTTTGGCCTTTGAATTCAAATTAGAAATATAGCCATCATCTAAGGAAAATACCTCATTTAAAATGTCAAATGCGCTCAGGATGCATAATATAGATACAGTAATGCAGTAGGAGGAGATGTTGCAAGCGTGTTAGTGATAAAGTTAACTGGCCAGACTTGCTGGTAAGGTGTAAATTCTGGGCAGAAAGGGGTGTACAAGAGTGGAATTCTCACAATAACTCCGGAGCATGGGCATAAATATTTTTCATGTGTGTTAGCACAGATCATTCGTACACATTAACCCCTGCTGTCAAAGCGTATGATCTCATTTTATAAGCATCGACACCCTTGAGACAGGCTGTGGGAGGCCCGGATGGAAAGACTGAGGGCCGCCCGAGCCACTGCCAGGGTTTGGGTTCACTCTCAGGCTCCCGTTTTTCTGCCCGTTCCCTGGGACAGGGCGGCTGTTGCCCCGCTGCGCCCCGTCCGGCGGCAGCTGGGAGGACCTAGAAGGCACCCTCCGCATCAGCAGCTGCAGGGCCCGGGGGTCTGCCTGCCTGACAGCGGCAGAGGGCGTCCTGTGGGCCTGAGGACCGGCCAGGGTCAGCGCCGCCACGGGACTGGAGAGGAACGAGGCACCCAGTGCCCGGGGACGAAGGCTGTCCAGGAGCATCACCAGCTGGGAGGAGGGCGCCGTCCACGAGCCAGCGATGCGCAGAGGCCCCGCGGCAGCCACAGGAAGCCCCTGGGCAGTTCACAGAGAGATGGCAGGGACAGGCAGAGAGCGGAAGAGCAACTGAGAATTTTATTTCTTAATTTTTTAAATATTTTCTTTATTTTTTAGAGAGAGGGCAAGGGAGGGAGAAAGAGAGGGAGAGAACCATCAGTGTGGGGTTGCCTGTCACGTGCCCCAACTGGGGACCTGGCCCACGACCCAGGCCTGCGCCCTGACTGGGAATCAGACCAGCAGCCCTTTGGTTCACAGGCCCGCGCTCAATCCCTGAGCCACACCAGCCAGGGCACAATTACAAATTTGAATTAAAACTCACTAAAAAAAAACCCAATTGCAAACATTTTGATGGACAAATTATATGTTTGTAGAAGGCAATTGCACAAATAACCAACACTGGTAACTGCAGATGCCTGTCTACTAGCAGCAGTGACGCCCTGTGCTCGGCATCAGCCCACAGGCGGGCCTTCTGGGGCCACAGAGCCCCGAGGTTAAAGGTCACGTGCCTCAGGGGGCCAAGGTCACCCTACAGAACCTACCCAGACACCACTGGGTAACCTGGACCCAGGTCCGTGTCCCTCAGACAACTGGGGGACCCAGGGCCGCCTTCAGCGGTGGGTAGCCCGACACAGGCCCGGGCACCAGCAGGGCAGGGCAGCGCTTGGGCCCTGAACCCTGTCTGCACCAGCCCCTCCCACCCCTCCCAGGGCCCTGAGACTCGGTGCTCGCCCTGACTAGCGCTGGTGCCAGACGGAGAGCAGACCCCGCCTCCCGGATGCTTGCATGCACCCCCTTCCCCCAAAGGAGGCCAGGGTGACAGCTCTCAACACGCAGTTTCCAGAAAACCTGGCAGGCTTTCTTTCCTCACTGCCCCAAGCTTCGAGACGGGGCTTCGTGGCACCTGCCAGTCTGCCATGTGTTGGCTGCAGTCCCAGCCAACAGACGGAAGAAGCCCTGGCACCAGTGTCCGTGACCCTCTGTGCAGGGACGATGAGCAGCCCGGCCTCTCTGGGCCCAAGAGTGGATGGGGGGTGGGGCGTGGGGCTGGAGGGTGAGGCCGGCCTGCAATGAAAGGAGCCCTGGCGCGTTACAGGGCGATCTGAAAACTGGGTCTGTTTCCGACACCTCCAAGGCCTTGTCCCCGACAGTAAGCAAAACAACAAGAAAACGTATTTATTTGGGAAGCATTCAGGCCACAGGACGGGTGTTCTGTGTGCTTCCTCCCTGCTGGTCTCCGTGTGGGACAAGTGCCTCGCAGCAGAGGCTTCTGTGCAGGGAACTGATGAACTGGAGGGACAGCTCAAACGTCTGCGTCACCGGCGCTGAGTGCAAGCCCGCCGCACTCTGAGCGATGCTCCCTTCCCAGGTACGCGGACCTCTTCCCCGTCCCGTCTGACGCCACCACGGAGCTTCTGTTTAAGTTACTTCCACTCCGAGGAGGCCCCCAAAAGGGCAGCTTCCCTGGTCCCCAAGGCCAAGATCACTGCCACCCTGGTTGACCCCTCGGACCGAGCCTACTCCTGGTACCAGGTGAGGAGACTTCAGGGGGTTCAGGCCTCAGGTTTTAACCCAAAGCACTTGCTCATTTTTATATTTGCAGAAGGGTGAGTACGTTTTTCTTTGTTGCCAAGGAGAAACTAATTGTCTCCTTACAATATTATTAATTTTGTACTCAGTTAATTAACTTATTGAATAAAATGTGCTAGTGCAATGGAGAAATTAAAATATAACAAACCAAATAATACATACTGGGATATATCTATGCTTCTATATATGTGCATTTTAAAAGCAAAATGTTATAATATTTTGAGATCACTATTTTCCCCCAAACGTGCAACGCTGAGGTCACTGTCCGTTTCGCCGCCCAGCAGCAGAACTGACCTCCCGCAGGGGGTCGGAGAGGCCTGCTCGGCAGGGGCGGGGGGGCGGCACTTCGGGTTCTGCCGGCCACGTGGCCGGGCTCAGCTGCAGTCCCGCCCCTGCGTTTCAGAAGCAGCAGAGAGAACGTACAAATTAGTGAGCTTAGCTGTGTCCCCATAAAACTTTATTTACAATAAAGGGCAAACCAAATTGAGCCAGTGAAGCCTGACTCTGAAAAAGCTTAAATAACTGCTGTACTGAGAAAAAATATCTTATAACTTAGCAGCAAAAGTAAATGCAAGGACCCTCCCTGCCTGGAAGCCCAGCGGGTCCAAAGCCTTCCTGGGCCTTCTGCACACCCCCACTGCCTTGCGTCTGCTGTCGGGGAGGACGGGGCACAGAATCGACCACTGTGAACTGATCCAAGAGCCTCTCGTAATAGCACTGACACAGCAAACGCGTGTGTGCTTCAGTGACTCACTAAGAACAAGGGAAAGAACCCGTCCTGGTGAGGCTCCAGTCACCAGGTGGAAAAGGCTCCGTAAAAAGCCACCACCGCTGGGCACAAGAACAGCTGCCGGCTTCCTCACCCCCCGCTGCCCGGTGGTCTGAAATCGCGTCGTGTGTCCACCCGGCCACGGGCCGCAGGGACCACCGTGTGTCCAGTGCTGTTGTAAGCGTGATATGATGACACGTTAACACATGCGGGTGTTACATTCGAGCTGCTTCCCATGTACGTGGAGACACAGGTGTAAACAACCAGGGCACAAGTCCAGGAGCTCTGAGTGACCCACAGACTCCTGCCGAGTGACAAGGGGACACGGGTCAGGCACGTCCGTCGGCCAACCCAGAAGAGCCACCGGGCACCTCCCTGGAGGAGGGAAGACTCTGCGAGGGGAGGCATTTAGGTGCGATGAAAACGGGGAGTTTTCGTCAGCTCGCAGCTGGGTGGCCTGCCTGCGAGGGGTCACTGGGGTCAGGCCTGACAAGCAGACTCAGGCTCCTGTTTCCTCGGAAACCGTGACGTGAAGGTGAACGTGAAGCAGTGTGTCCGAAACCCCTTATCTGCTGAAACTCTGCACCCGAGTGGAAATGAGGTGCCCACGCGGCCCCCCGCCCCCAGCAAGGCCGGGCGCTCCCTTCTCACCGGCGGGACACCGACAGGTGCGCTCCTGGTAACCTGCGGCGTCAGGGAGTCCAGTCCTCGGCACAGGGCCCTCTTGTCCGACAAAAGCAGTCTTCCCGGTTCACCCAGGGTGTCGGGAGCAGTCTGCTGGCTGGGACGGGGGCGGGAGAGGTCACACACAGCGGGCGCGGTCCCCTGGAGGCTGAAGCGCACCTCCGGCCCCCGCACCCTCTTTTAAGTCGCAGTGAACAGTAGGCTGCAAACTGACTGATTCGATTTTGCATCATTTAGCTCTTCCACCAGGTATCTGGAGAAAAGAGAAATGAGCCTTAACTGCCTGAAAGAGAAAGGAGAAAATTGGAGCTTGGCAACCACTTAGCCCCTGAAAAACTGAGACTGTGCTGGAGAGGGGGGTTCAAGGCTGCCGGCTGACAAGGACACTCTACACGTCACACATAAAGCGCACACAGGGGCAGCATGCAGGCCCCACCCAGGCCGGGGGAGTGGGCAGCGCGCGGCCATTCGAATCCCAGTTGCACCCACTTTGCCGTTCAGGTGTGGCACACCCCCCCGCCCCCACCCCCAGCCTGGGTATTTAGGGGGTGACGCAGGGCAAAGGTGGTTTGCTCGAGCCCCTGGGCCCTGATGACCACTCCTCCCTGGGTTGCTGCTTCCCTGCATCTTCTGGAAGAAACGTTTCTGATCCATCACAAAGGTCACCGCAAGGTAAAGTCACAGCAGCGTTCAGACCTGCGGTGTGTGCGACAGAGCCGTGGGTCTCAGCCCCCACGCGTGTCAGGGTGGGCACAGCAGGCAGGGCTTTTGCAGCAGCGCATCCCCGGGCAGCGGCCGCGTGCAGTGAGTTCCCGTGTGACGTGACACAGCGCACGGGACAAAAGCTGGGCTTACAGGCTCCAGGGAGCGCCCACGCCTCTCCCAGAAGCCGACTCTCAGGGTAAAGTGTGTACACCAAGGAAACGAGTCCATACAGTTGGTGAGGGGATCCTACAATAAGAACTCGGCCTCCCGCACCCCGGGGTCACCGCTCTGATTCCGGACCCTCTGCGAAAGCGGTTTCTTGCTGATTAATTGCAGAACAGACGCCTCTCCTGCAGTGAGGCGGCCCCTTCCTCAGCTGGGGGGCCTGTCGGAGACATGCTCGTGACTCTTTATGCCTGAGGTTCATTGTCATCGTCCACCTTTGCACCGTAGCATCAGCGATCGCATGAAGACGCCGTGGCGTTGAGGTTCAGCTTCTAGGAAGTCATCTCCACGGGGCCGGCGCATCCCCCGAGCTCCGTGCCCTGCAGAAGCAGTGTCTGGTCCCAGGGCCGTAGGCCAGCCACATGGAGAGGCGGCTCCTGTACTTCCCCGCCTTCCTGGTGCGGATCGGTGAAAACTTGGCTGCGGGTGGCTCTGCCTGAGCCAGGAGGAAAGCTTTACCATGAAAACATTACCCACTTTTACTCTTTACCTCTTGATAGTGAGGCTGTGCTGACGAGTTAAAAAGTAGGCAGAGGCAGAACGTTGTTTGATTTCTTTCTGAAAGTTTTCAGGTTCGCTCCCCACACTCCACTCCCGAGCCCACACCTCTGCAAACTGTTACAAGCTCCAGAAGCTTCACAGCCCGATTCTCACTCCGAGAAGCAGCCTCGGACGCCTCTGAGCCAAACAAGGCAAACATCGTTTTACTTAAACACTGTTATTTCCCTCCGAATGCCTTGCTGAACTTTTCAGAGTCCTGTGCTGTTCCCAGCTTCCTTGAGTCTCTCCTTTGCCGGCAGCAACCAGAGGACAAAGCCATGCCGACACTGACTACCGAAAGCAGTCTGGTCACACGCCACATGCCTGTGTGTCTGGGACCACACTGTGCAATGTGAGAGCCGCTACCGCACACGGCTGTCAGAACAGGTATTAAAGTCGCAGAAAGTTAACCATTCAGTTCCTCAGTCACATCGTCCATGTTTCGGCTGCCCAGCTGTCACCTGATGGACACCACAACTGCGGGGCACCGACATCCTCACAGAAAGTTCCAGTGATCGGTGCTGGGCTGGAGCACAGGAAGGAGCAGGCCGGGTGGCCCTCCGCCGCACCGTCCGGCCCTTGGGGTTGCTGCCCTCCCCCAAACCAGAGTAAGAAGCCAACTCTCCCACTCAGTCTGCCAAGGAACCTCCTCCACACTCAGGTCCCGGGGCATCTCGTCTTCTTCTGCAACTGCAACTGCCTTATCGAAGTGCTCCTTCAACCCTGACAGTGCTTCCCCCTCCGAGCAGGGCCTCAGAGCGTGGCCGTCCCATGAGCCGTCACAGCAGGTCTTCTCCCGCCCTGCCCCCACTCGAAGGCGCGGCCCACAGTCCGCACGTCCGCAGACCTGGTTCCCACTTGCGATATCATGGCCACGCTCCTCCAGGTCTCTTGATCCCCTGGAGGGCTTTGTGTCTGCACAGTGATCATGGCACTTCCCGGCTTACGAAAGGTGAGTGCCTTGAACGCGTGCGATCTATTTCTTGCTGTAGGTCGCCAGTGAGGGGGCCTGGTCCCGGCCAAGAGCGGGGCGTGCAGACCCCGCGGCACAGGCCTGGCCCTGAACAGCCGCACCCGGAGGAGATGCATGACGCGGCTGCTTGTCTTTCTCCGTGGGCACTGCCTTGTTCTTTCTCTGGTGACTTAGCTGCTAATTACTGATGGGTAGCAGCTGAGAACGGATCCTGCTACCGTGGTGGATGAAGTCCAGAAGTTTCTAGGAGTCTCTCGACATTATAATTACTCAGAAGCATTGACGTAAGTCTGTGCTCTAACGCACGCACCGAGGTTTCGGCAGAGAACTGGTTTGGAGGAAACCCTAGTTCGGCGGCTGCGGTCAGTGCCCACTGTCCCCTGCCCACTGACTCTCGTCCGGGCTGACATCAGCCACACAGGAGGCGCCTGTCCACCGTGCGGCAAACACGTGTCCTGGGTCCTCTTTTGATTTCTAACTACAAAAGCTTTTCTCTGGAAGGGACCAGGGAGGGAAAGCAGTTGTAAATCACAAAGCCAGCAACTCACCTTAGAAGAGGCTTCCCGTGTGCTGGCCCTGCCATCTCTGTTTAAGGGGCAGTGCCGGGCTGCCGGGGTCCCAGGACGGGCTCGCCAGCGGCTGTGAGCGGCGTCAAACACCGCCTCCGACAGCAGGGGCCTGGGCAGGGGGTGGCACTGTGAGGGGACCCCGTGTCTGCCCCTCTGGCCTCACCCACTGCGGGTCTGACTCGCCACCTCTCCCGCAGGGGCCTCAGCGGTCACAGCTCTGGGTCAGTGTTCTCTTGCTGGTTCCCCCTGAGGTTCTCGGGTAAAGACCGTAGCTGGGCAGGGACCAGGCGAGCAAAGCACTGGGATTCGAGGAGGCCCAAGCTCGCGGGGCTGTGCAAGTGCCTGGGAGGGGGTTTCCTTAATGTGCCCCCTGACCTCCCGGGAGCTCTGCCTGGGCACCCCCTGACATGCCGCCCTGTGCCCACGCACGAGGGCCGACCGCCTGGCAGACCAGGGTTGTGTCTGTCCCGGCCTCACGTGCTGGAGCAGCTGGGAGACGCTGGTAGACCGGCCACGACCGCCTCTCACCAGAATGGTGTCCTCCGTCCAATGTGCTCTGTGTCCCATGTGAGAGGCTGAGTGAGAGGCAGGGTCCCCTGGCGGAAAACACCTCGCACAAACCACACGCAGACACACGCAGAAGGGAGAACTTCTGGGATCAAAGGCAAGGGAGGGGCAGACCCCAGGTTCCCGGCCTCCTCCCCAGAGTCGTCCCCACTGGTGCTGTCTGCCTGCTGGGCCCGAGCTTCCTGTGCCAGGAGTGCCCTGTGCTTGCAGCAGCTCAGCCCCAGGGCTAACGCAGACACCAGCCCTGGGTGCTCAACTCCCGGCATGACCTAAAGAAAGCCCAGGGATTTCAGTTTGCAGCTAGAAATTCAAGTCCACTTTCTGCTTCATATCTTTCTGAGTGTGTGCTGCGAAAGGAAGCTTTTATTTTCTAAACAGTTTTCTATTTCACGTTGGCTTGAGTGTCATTTATCGCGTGTAGAGCAGAGCACCGTGCTGTTTCAGAGAAGGGAAGCGGGGTGCTCTGCAAAGAACCAGGGTCTTTTCCCTGAGGCAGCCCTTGCCTTGTGAGCCCCAGGCACCCCACCGCTGCTGGCAACCTCGGCAGCCTGGCACAGGGGTGCGGCCGGCAGAGAGGTGATAGCAAGGCAGTGTGCGGCGGGCAGACAGCCGCAGCCCGCTGGGCACCTGGCTACCATGACCCACCACGCGGTTCTCCGGCCTGGCCAGGGCTCAGTGAGTGGAGCAGCAACATTAAACAGGGGTGGTCTGCACCTTTCCCCACCCACAGGGATGGATAACTGCTGCAGTTTGTCTATGGTTCTGCGTCTTGGAAGTTGTCAGCCGGCCTGACCCACCTGGTAAAGAGCAGCAGTGGCCCTGCTGCGGGGCGGTCGGGACCTCCCGTCACTGGCCCAGGTCTCGGTGGGTGTAAACGCGCCCGCCCCGCTCCCCACGCCCCGTGCCTTTGGTTACTCTGGTCAGGGCGCCTGCGTGTAGCAGTGGCTGGCGGGGTGCCTTGCGCATGCGTGGTGACTGGCAGATGGTAGACAAGGCACCTTCTCGGGACTCCGTTCCCTGCCCGCCATTCTCCCCGCTGCTGAGCGTGAAGCCGGTCCCTCTGCTGCTTACAAACGACGACGCACTGCCCTCTGAGAACACAGCGCTGCCACCAGATGCGACTCCTCGGCTGCCCGAACCGGCCCTCGGCACACAGCCGGGCACGTGTGAACGGGACCGTGCAAAGGCGAGCCACGCGCACTGGGCGCGCAAGGCGGCACCCATGAGACAGAGCGCAAACCGACAGTCTTCAACGTGAAAGCTCCAGTTTCAAAGCTGTTGTAAAACAACGGCGATAAGACTCTCCTGTGAAGAATATTACTCACCCCTTTCCACAGTCACGAAGAAAGTGGCCAGACGTCCAAGTCTCACGCGGCGATGGGCCCAACATGACCGACCTCCGCCACCGCGGACTTCAGGTGGCACACGGAGTGCGTGAGAAATCTGATTTCTGAACCAGTGTGGGCGTGATTTCAAATAAGCAGGATGAGCATTAAACAATGTAAACGAGAACTTTCTGGTTCCGCCCAGTCAATCAGCACCTCCCAGTGCCTGTCCCGGGGACTCTGACCCCTCCCCCCCAGGCAGGGCTGGCACACCGAACAGTTCCAGCTGTGTGGTCCGTGTCGCCCTGTGTCCCCAGCTGACTGATTGTTTGAGAGAAAGCAGGGAAAATAATGCTCAGCGTGGAGCTGCACTAATTCCTATCGGCTGACATGAAACATGCGAGGTCTCCATCTTCCTGTGAACACATCCACTCAGTTATCCCCAGCCCCCACGGTCCCTGATGGGAGTGTCCCCACATAGGATACTAGTGAGTCAAACCCCGAACCAAGGCCTTTACTTCTCTGTCACTTAACCTCTTTGTGAGCACAAGTGGAACCAGACAGAATTGTTCCGATTTTTAGTGCTGATCTACTATGAAGCCGCCAATAAATGGGCGATAAGAAATTGATGGCCAGGGGCCGAATGAAGACTGCGTTTGTCCTGCTGTGTGGACGGGGCTCAGCTGAGTGATAACGCGCAGGAGCTGGCTCGAAGCCCAGAAGGACCTCTACTCCGTCTGCTGCCATCACTTCCTCCTGCAACCAAGTCCCTGCGTCCCCAGAGCGCCCCCCGCCCCCCCTGCCAACCGAGAGGCGTCTGAGTAAAAACGTGCTGCGTGGAAACTTCTCTCGGCGGCCAAAGCGGCCTCCACGGCAGCGAGAACCCGCTGAACCTCCAGGTGACCCGGGACAGGGAGCCCAGAGCGCTGTGTGGCGAGAGAGAAGAGAATGGTCTGCTCCTGTTTCTTGTGACGAATTTGTTTTCAAAGTGGTTGTTACATTTCAAAGTCCAGCTCGGCTGTGTGTGGTATCTCCACGTGTTGCTTCGTAACAACAGTGCACGGTGGGTCCCGTCAGCTCTGGTGATCGGCAGGGAAACCAGCAGGGAAGAGCCGAGCTCCCGTGTGCAGGGGGCGGGGCCCGCACTCCGCCAGCCCGGCGGCCGCTCCGCCAGCCGCTCAGCTCTCCGCGCTGTGCCCCCCACGGGGGACAGAGGCACGCGGCACTGTGCCTTTCCACTGATGCGCCGCATGCCGACAGCAAGCACTTCCCCTACAAACTGAACCCCCTCAGTGAGCTTTTTAAGCTGTCCCCAACTTGGTTGTCAGAAGAGCCCATCTGCAGACACAGGACTGCCACCTTGCACCATAACCTGCCGTCACGCTGACGTGCCAGCGGAGCCGCGGGGAGACACCACGAAATGGCTGTGATCCGACAGGCAGCATCAGCCGCCTCGCAAATCGGGAGAAACCGAGCCCTCACCCACCGCTAATGGTGATGTGTGATGGGAGGCCGCTCTGGAAACGCAGCTTTGCGGTTTTTAAAAAATTCAACGGTTTTCACAAACCGGCTGGTGCAGTCCCAGGAGCCCCTCCCAACAGAAATGAACGGCCCCCAAACGTGCGCACAGTGGCCCTTCTTCACAGCCCCGGACTGGAACCCAAAGATGCCGCCCGTGCAGCAACTGGCAGGTGGATTAATGGGTCGGCATCTCCTCTCCGGCAAAGAGAAAGGAAAAAGCAAATGCCCACAGAAGCCAGACTGAGCAAAGCAAGCAGACTGGGCTCTCTGGGGCCGGACTAATGTCCAGGACTGGCTGCCGTGGTCCCCAGGGTGGGGTGGGTCCCTCCCACCGGGATGGCCGTGACAGTCGAACAGCTGTAAGCAGCCCCACCCATCACTGAGCCGCACACGTAGAATGGGTGAGGGCTAGACATGGAAATTACATCTCAAAAACGCTCAGAGATAAAACGTGATGATGTTCCCTCGTCCTTCACCTTTTACTCAGTGATCCCCGGGTGGGCGGTGCTCAGGGCCGTAACACGGGCCTCAGGTCCTGAAGGGTCATGTAACAAGAGCACAAATGATGAAGAGCCATGAGAAAGGTGTTAGTGGGTGAAATACACATCGAATGTGCTGATGCTGCTCTGTTTATACAATCGTGGTGTGAAAACCCAATTGTGCAGGGGCGTCACCTGAATGCGGAGCTCGGGGCAAACCAGGCTCTGGGACTTGGGAGACGGTCCACAGCGGGGGGCCCTGAGCGCGTCACCGGTGTCCCAGCGAGACCCCTGCTCTGCAACTCTGCAGGTTGCCGCGCAGGCCCCGTGCGCGTCAGGAAAGGCAGGTGGGGCCTGACTTGTCCTGTTTAAACCCCGGGAAGGCTTGAAATGCAGACAACTTCTCCCTTCAGATAAAGGAGGCAGGCTTATTAACGTCTATTAATAGGGGACCTTCTGCTGACAAGGTTTCTACCAGGAGCCCGGCCAACTCGCAGACCTGACAGATGGACCGAGACTCCTGCCAGCAGACTGTGCAGAGGGGTAGTCAAAAATATGCCAGTTTCCCTGGTTACCGATTAATGCCCAAATAAAAATGTTCCTGTTTGGGGTGACTGCATCTTACAAATGACTTGAAAAATACTTTTTTGTCTCTTTTACTTCTTTAGGTTTGATTCTCACAAAGGTTTCTGGTGTCAGTTGCTGCAAGAAGGGAGAACAAAAGGCCTCGGAAGGAGCAAAGGGAGAAAACCCTTCCGTGGACCCTGATGTAAGGAGAGAGCTTACCATGCACACCGATCAGCCCGACTCTGAGCGACAGCACACCTGCTTTCTTAGCAAGGTGGCAGAAATGGAAATCCAGCCTTTCTGAAAGTTAAAGGTGACACCTGGATTCCGAAGCGTCCGGTTTTTTCTGGTGAGATGCATCGCCTCTCAGGCAGGAATAGAGGCGGTGGGACTTCCCGCGTTGAGTCAGAACAAGGGCGGCCGCATCTCCTTCCAAAAAGGAAGCTACTCTCACAGAAATGGCAGCACTAAGCACGTCCCCTGGTGCTGAGGCAGGAGACTCAGCAACCGGAAACTGGAGATAGAACCAGAAGGTTCCCACTGTTTCATCACCGAGTCACTCTGGGAGCGCGTGTGTCCTGCGTGTGACGGTGCTGAGCTCTGAGCTGTCCACATGCCACTGAGCCCCTCGCCAGGCAGGAAAACGATGCCCACGTGGCCAATGAAGTGAGGTGGCTGAGCGAGCCCTCGCTCTCGGGGGGGTCAACCCCCACACCAGGAGGAAGGGTGGGAGAAAGGGGCCCGGGGGGTTCAATGCTGCGGTGGGTTCGGACGTGGGACCACCAGTCCCCACGTGGGAATGTCAGCAGGCAGTGGGCACCAGCAGTGTTCCAAGCAGGTCGCCACGGGGAACAATGAGAAGCGAGCCATTCAGAGAGAACACAGGGGACCTTCGGACACCCCTGCCCCCAAAGACCAGGCCCTGCCCTGGACTCCAGGTCCAGCTGAGCGGAGGGCACAGAACGAGGGGCTCCCGGACGGGAGACCTAGCGTGTGTCCGCCCTGGCCCAGCCTGAGCGTGGCCGACAGGCCAAGACAGACCAGAGCCGGGCAACCGAGACTGACAGCACAAGCCGCACAGAGGCCTGGGCCCTCCCTCATCACAGGCCGCTCAGAACGGGGCACAAGTGCTCAGCCTAGTGCCAAAGACCGTGACCCCTGCAAAACCCAGCACGAGACAGTTACCCACGCAGGATGAGACTTCTCCTGTGGCACTGAACATGGACAGCCACGCAGGCCATTTAGACAGAAGAGCACAAGGGAGTAAGTGCGTGCTTTTAAAGCTCCCGGTGTCGTGCGAAGCAGCGGGTACAGACGCAGGTGCGGAACCGCCCCTCCCCACGCCCCTCCCCAGGGTCGGCCGGAGCCCGCAGTCCCCGAGCGCCCCGCCCAGTGCCAGCCCCCAGCAGAGCCCCCCCTTTCAGACAGCTCGGCTGTGAGGTCGGGGGGCGGCTGAGGCCTTCCTTTCCCGCCTCGGCTCCAGTGCGCCACACGCCAGGTGCACACCCCCCACAGCGGTGAGGCCTGCCGCGGCTCGGCTCCAGCAGCCAGGGCTTCGTAAGTGCCTTAGAAGATCTCCACAGTGTCCGGATGCCAGTCAGCGGTGACAGAGGGGCCCTCGGCAGCAGAGGCGGGCCAGGCCGGCCCTGTCCCCAAGGCTGGGGTGGTGCTCACAGAGCACAGTACTGTCAAGCCCGGCTTCCAGCAACTCGAGCTCCTTACTTTAACATTTAATTCTACAGAGTCAAATAAACGGCACGTTTGCGAGGACAGCTCTTCCCCTCGTGAATCGGGGTGTAGACCAAGGTGCGTATTTTGAAGAACGAGTCCCGGTGTTTCTCTCGTGCTAATGAAGGTCCCCGTGCGTGACCCAGACTCAGGCGCAGGCAGACGTGACCCGTCAGGGCAGGTGAAGCTGTAATAGACCGTCGGACACAACGCACCTTCCCTCCCCCGCAGAGCGGAGCCTTCCTGTCCAGCTACTACCGGGACCACAACGGGGGGGCTCTCCGGGCTGCTGCACAGGCTCGGGCAGCCGCTGCCGGCCTGGCTGCGACAGGAGCCGCAGAAGGTGACGTGGCGCCGGGGACGCTTCTTACACCCAAGCACCTTCCCAAAGCTTCGGGAAGCTACCGAAGGCTGTTTGGAAACGTACCTCCTCAGAGGAGAAAACAGGGTCTCCTCCGATCCTCGGATGCCGGCGCGTGGGCGGTCGGGAGGAGAAGCCCCCACCACGAGCCTTGGGGCCTGCGGCCTCCCTCCTGCCCCGCACCTGGGCCGGGTCCCGGGGCTGCCCTGCACCCCCGTGAACATCGAACTCACACCCGGAGCTGCTCCGCTTCCCAGAAACCGGCACTTGTGTGGAG